AAGACTAAGTATGCATACTTGATCAATATCCTATTTAACTTTTTTTTCGCTTTATTATGTTAAATTCTTTAAAACATGTAAGACAAAAGACAAACAATTTTTCATCAGGGCTGGTCATAAAAAGTATAATCAATGTTTAAGCTTTTGAAATGTGGTAAAATATTTTTTTAAATATAAATAAACAAATCTATGTCCACCTAACTTATATTTTTTTATATTTTCTAGTATTTTTATTGCAGTTGTTCGATCAAAGTTTTAAATCCCGAAAGAAATGGGTTTCTTCATTACACCATAATATTCTTTGTTATTGGCATTATGCCTCCTTTTATAACGAACTTTTCAGAAATCGACATACAACAAATCTCAAATTTATAAAGAAAAATCTAGCCCTCGGATTATATTTCTAAACTGTCTTTTAAAAATTATCATATTTCCTTTAGAAATTGTATTAACTAATATTAACCGACAGTGTACAGTTGTTTCGCTGAGTGAAGAATTTTAGAAATATATGTCATTAAAAATTTCTGATAATTACATCCTCCCAAAGCAGGTATTATAGGCACTTTTTGTAATGTTTTGTTACATTTTCTAGAGTCAGAAATTATTGTTGATAATTTAAACAACCGTTTGTCATATAGTTATAGAAAATCGTTGCATGTAGATGTCAAATTACTTATTGGCATTATGAACAGATAAATGTATCAAGATCATGTCATGGTATAATATCTTGTTAACATTTGGCAAATACAAATGTGTATTTTGTGTCTGACCTTTTATACAGATTTTCTTCAGATATTTCCTTACATGATAGTGAGACATTTATTTAGTATGATTTTATTAATTGATTTTGTAATGCAAAACAAGTATTTGCTGCGGTGAACAAAAGCAGACATTCTACCATAATATTCTATGTCATAGAAAACTCTTTATATCATAGAAAAATATTGTTCAGTCGTAACTGATATCTAAATTAAATTAATATTTTGCAAGAAATTGTTTATTTTACTTAAAACATGATCTACGAAGCAGCCGAAAGAACGTTTTGAAGTTGAATAAATTTGTGTTCTAGATTCGGAGCTTAAATGCTTAATTTATCCAAAAAAGGTGTTTATATATTTTACGAAGAACAATATAAATAGTTTGCCTGAATAAACCATTAATTTGGACAAAACTCAACTTCGTTTGTACCACTCATATAATGCATTTCCGACAGATAAGATACCGATATGTTTTATAAAACACGAGGTTTAAAATGCAGTATGCTTTGTTACAGACATAGGATGGAGTGTTTGGTAATTTTCCAGATTTAAAATGTATTCTTGAAAAGTTCTTATACATTCTTTTGCTATTTGCTAGACCTTTTGTATCACTTTGGCAATAAAATCATTGATTTCAACAATGTTCATGTTCTGTACAAGAAATAGATTATCACTGTTTCTTTTTCTGCGATTGTTATCGATCTTAATCATCAAGAATCTTAACAAACAAAATTGTGTTAGCCTTAATCACCTGACAAAATAGATGCAATGTTTACACGGAATGTGTCATCGTTCCTTTCACAACAATAACAATGGAACAGAAAACCTTTAAAAAAAACTGTTGAAATATGAAATTTAATCTCAGACTTTGGTTTCTGAAATATATTTTAAGGTGAGTATATTACAATTGCTAATCTCTACCAATTCATAATTTTCAAAAACACAGTTGGAGCACAGATGGACGTATAATTTGCTCAATTTATAATTTTATATAGATTCTGTAATAGATTTACGTGGAATAAATAGCATTTGGGTTTGTTTTGTTTGCTTAAAAATAAGCATTGCATTCTCTGCTAATACTTTGTTGAATACTGTTCAGCTAAAGCATAGACAATCACCTTGTACCTTGTGTTTTCTGTTTGTGTGAAATCATTGCGCTTGTAGAATATATGGAATGCAAGTAGTCAGTATGTTCTTGACTTTATAAAATCTTCTTCTAAGTTCTGTTCAAATGTATTTTAAAGCTAAAGTTGTTTCATTATCTCGGCGATTGGGTATAATCCAGTTTCAGCGATTGAACTGGTTCGGAAAAGGACAAAGACCATTTGTGGTGGAGTTTTATCACATGCTTGGAAGATAATGGTATAAAACGGCCGAATTTAATTGTTCTTAATCGTGTGCTTTTCACCATGTCTCTTGTATATAAGCACATAATGATATATTTGTTTATCATAAGTCTAAGACGATACCACCATAATGTATCGATAATATACTTATGTTATATGATCTAGACATATTGACAGGCGTATTAAATAACTTGAGAATAAAGCGTCGTATAATTGCGATAAAAATTCAGGTTAAGGCTGAATCTTTTCATGTTATTGATATGTTATTTTTGCATAACAGTATTATGAAGCTGTGTCTAAAATCTTGGAATAATGAGTAAAGAGCTTTTCAAGTGTATGAGTTATTTCTATAAGGCTTATTTGAAAGTGCGATACTGTTTATGACTGGTTAAATGACTTTTAGTAAAGAGAGATTACTGTAAACGGACGAACTGCTTAAGCCAATCGGTATGTTCTTTTTGCGTATATGCAAGGTATATATGAGACATTATTGCATCGATGCAATGTAAGTTTTCCTCTTATGCAGCCATGCGTGTGAATATTATGCAACACTCATGTGTTCAAGCACGATCGTAAGCGTTCAATTTCACAATTATATTGATATGTCCTTCTTTTTTCCATTTATTAATAACTCCTGTTAAAAGATTTTAATTGAATATTTGACATGTCATACAACTATCATGATCAATTGAGCAACGCTCCTAAAATGCTAATTATTTGTAGAGCATTATTGCGTTATTTAAACAACTGGAAAAACAAAAGTAGACAAGTTGGTGCAAAAAAATCTGTTTCGTTTTTACATAAATATTATTCACGTCCGAGTTTCAGGACACTGATCTGTTTTAAAAAGAAAAAAACAGGGTTTAAAGAATTGAACATCTATGCTTGATTACTTGTAAGAGATGTGATGCTAGGCAATTTTCAGAGTGGCAATTTGTTCTCTATGTTTTATTGCTTTGCTTTTGACAGCTTTGTTTAAATTTAACAAAACATGTTAAAATTCAATACTTGTGTTTGTAAGTGATAATGTTTTTATTTTTCATTTAGTTTTATCTTTTATTTTTATTTTTGTATCGCATTATCTACACTGTTCAAAAACCTGGAGTTGGTGTTTTATAGTGAATAAAAGTATGCTTCAAAAGAAAAAAAAAACAAGTCTTTAACGCCTTACCTTCCATATTTAGGCATATGATTTATCTAAACACGACCTAATATTTTATTCTAAATTTTATATGACATCATTATTATGTTAAATGAAAAATATATTACCTGTAGTGTTTTCTCGAAAATGGTGGACAGAAAAACTTTATTATTGATTGATACAAACATTTAACTTTTTAATTGTCAATTGTGTTGACGTGGTATATTGTTCACTGAGTTTATCCCTTATACTAATCACTTCGTTTAAATTATACAAAAAAAAATTTATCATCGGAGGAACGAGTAAGCGTGGGAAAACTACTTGAATGACGATTAATTTTAATACATTATTGTAAAGTGTTGATTGAGAAACACATAATTGTTAGATTGACATCTTTCAAAGAAAAAAATATGCTGCTATCATTCAATTATTAGAGAGGTGAATTAATTTAATCAGTTGTCGTCACCTTTATGCAAGTATTAGTAAAACTCGACTAATCCGCAACTGTTGTTCGCTTTAGATGATGTTCTATCAAATGCAAGATACATATTCAACTAAATTTGATAACGTATTTAACCTATAATTATATATTATTGATGTCATTGCTAAAGAATATTACATACAAATTATTTTCTTATATCTTCAGGTCGCCTCCTTTTTTCTTTGAATAATTTTTAAAAATATCTCGACAAAAACATAATTTTATAATGAGCCTTCCTTGTTCGATGTTTAACTATTCTTTTCGATAACTAACATTAAATTTAGTAACTGTTGAAGGGAGGTTACTCTTACAAGGTGTTATTTACAATACCATATGTATAGGTCTTCTTGATAATGTTTTCGCTAGGAAAATTGGCGTATGTTTAAGATGTCGTCTGCTTTATATTGATTTGTATAACATTGGTATCGAAAAAGAAAAACTATTTCTTTCTTATCAATATCACTTTTATACGAGGAAGGTATCCAGTCAACTTACGGAATGACGGTGATTCTATTCAGGTGCATGCTCGTGCCTGTAATAATCCAAGAAGAGGAACCTGGGGTCACGGCTATTTATCAACATAGTTCAAGTCCATAAATGACATTTAACATAGACAATGCCTACTTTTGGTGTCTCATATCAGGATAAGCGTTTGTTTTAACAAAATAGCGCTGAAATCGGTTCATAATATAAACATTCAGACCCCGTCAAAAAGGGGTTTTAGAGGGGGAAAAACAAGATTTTTACTTGTCCCTTTTTAATGCCTGCCCCCCAATATTGGTATAGATTTAAAATCCCCGTTAATGCTTTTTTGTTGATGCAAAAAAGTACGATATGAAAAAAAAAGTTTATATTTTGATTTCATGATAAAAAAAGCTAAAATTTTTTATGTGATACTTTTTTAGATATTTGTGCTCCTTAATGTACCTTTCTTTGTTCATAGGTTAGTACAAAAATTCAAAAAAAATTTGCCAAACCTACTCATGTTTTTAAACGTGTTATTCCAAAGGATCTGATTTTTAGTTTTGGTATCTTTGGATTGGTCGCAGGGTATTGGTTAAGTTTGTCTGTTTACTAATAAAGACATTTAACTTGAAGACTTTCTAAATGTAATACGAAGTTCAATCCTTTGCATTGATAAAATACAATTACAAATATGTAATCTACTTTAATCTTACGGCTTTGCAAGAAACAGTTATTTACAAAAATGGTGATACATATATAGTTGTGTATAGTTTAAAATGGTACGATCAATGTAAAGTTAAACATTATAAGTGACCGTGATTCACTATCAATTAAAATATGAACAACATTTAATATAATTATATAAACATTTCATAATATCAGAATAACAATTCGACATGAACTACAGTGGGAATGGCCTTTTATTTATTCTTTGCAAGAACGCATTTGTATTTATCCATATTATATAAAAACAAAAGAAACAATCACACATATTTGGAAATGAAAATACTAGGTTAATGCAATATCACGTGCACAAGATGTTGTAAAGAGTTGAGAATTTGCAGTCGTCTGACAGATATATATATTTGGAATATTTCATTGATCGACATACATATGGAAAGCTGAAAATTAGTAGATGTCTGGGGGCGTCCGTGACCGAGTGTTTAAGGTCGTTGACTTCAAACCACTTGCCCCTCACCGCTGTGGGTTCGAATCCCGTCAGGGACTTTGGATTCTTTCATGTGAGGAGGCTATCCAGCTAGCTTACGGAAGTCGGTGGTTCTACGCAGGTACCCGTTCGTGCCTGAAAAAATGCACGGAAGGGCACCTGAGGTCTTCCTCCACCAGTTAAGCTTGAACGTCGCGATATGACCTATACTGTGTCGATGTGACGTAAAACCCAAAACAAACAAACAAAAACTAAGATGTCTGGGAAATCGATGATTACAATACTTTATCAACTGATCCATTGAAAACAAGATGGATCCATGGACATATACAGACAATTGGCATACTGGCATATGAAACATTCAATATTTGATTCGAAGGATAATTGCGAATATGTAGACATCCAACAAATTAAACATTGATGGATCCATTGAATTTTGTAAATATGCGTATGGCAGACAAACATTTATTTGAAGAACTCTATCGATGTATCCATGGAAAGCTCTGCATGAACAGATATTTGACAAAATGATATAATAGAAACACTCTAGTTTAAAAAGACAGATCAGTTTTTGTAGTCCTCATCCGATAAACTCATTCTTCTTTTCTTCAAAATTCAGATGTGTCCTGTGTTTTCTTAAAAAAGAGAAATAAGAATGAACTGATTTTGGAAGTTGACACCCGGTATATGTAGATACAATTAATAGTGAGTTCCTTTTACCATTTTTATGATAATTAATCCATTACCGCTTGTGCATTTTGAGGGCCTCCTGTTAAAAGATCAAATTGCTATGAAACTATAAAAATGCTTTAATACTAATCAAACTGGACCATTGCCCTTTGTTACGGTATGCTCAATTGAGGGGACATCTCAAAAGTGCCAAAAGTGACTATTTTGCGTTGACTTTTTCCATCAAAAACGATTTCAAAGTGCTGCAATTTCTCAATCGATTGAGATAGAGTCCCAATTTTGATGGAAAAAATCAACGCAAAATAGTGATTTTTGGCAATTTTGAGATGTCCCCTCGTTGCCATGGTAACAGAAAATTTAAGCCTGAGCATGCTTTGGCAAGGGCTATAGTCCAGTCAACATTTGTGCTAAGTTTGATTAGTGTCGAAGCAGTTTTTATAGTATTATAGCAATTTGAACTTGTAACTGGAGACTTTTAATTTTCAATGAAAAAAGTCATTTTTCACAAAATGCTCATGAAGTAATGGGTTAAGAAAGTTGAACTGTTTAGGGCCTAAATAGGATATTTTTCACTATTTGTGGCCTCAAAAAGGGAGGGAGTGAAACGTCATGAAAGCACGTCTATATGAGGAAAAGGGTTAAGATATTACACGCCCATTACGCCTCCGAAATGTTTTTGCTTTCATTTCTCAATGCCTTTTTAATTTTGGTTTCATCTTACATTTTCCAAAAAGTTACTCGTCGGCAAAACACCTGAGCATCTAATACGTTGTTTATATTATATTCATGTTTAAAACTCACGTTTTCCTTATCAGTTCTTAAGAAAAGAAATTACTTTATTCGATTCTGAGCCATAATGTACATATAATTTATAAGTCATTTGCAGGCCGCCGTTAGTTCGTAATTCAAGGCCTATCCTGCTGTATAAGTATTATGAATTTATCCTCATTCAAAGTTTTCTGAATTAAATTATCAATTATTAGAAACAGAACTACCAACAACATTGAACGTGGTCATATAGGACGGACGTATAAGATAGCTTGGTTCTGTACTGGTGACAAAATAATAGTATGATAAAATTAAATAATTATGTACTGAAATTACAATTTATTTAGCTAAAATTTGTATTGTAACCCATAATTAAATATAATTTTCAATAGCATTGTTTTAATAGCATTGTTTTTATAAAAAATGAAGTAATTACATTTTTCTTTCCTTCAGGTACTCCGAAACCCTGCGACGACTGGAGCCACTTGTGTCTTTGTTTTGAAAATGCATCTTTTATCTGAAATTGAAATCATGACACGTTATGTTGATTTTATTTACATTTAATTACATTAAGGAAGAAACTAACATAACCACGACAATCTAGTAGGTAAAATGGTGATAATTGTGATATCAAAATCACATACACAAACTATTTTGTTCTGGACTAACTTCTTAATCTCAATTTAAATCATCAAGATTATTTCGCTTAGTGAAAATTCTGAAATACAGCGAGAGCAATGAACATATAAACAAATAGCATGACAACTGAGCTATCTAGATTAGCTTAATATCCTGAAAATAGTAAAAGATCGATTAAACAGGGAAATTATTTTGTTTTAAACCTGTCAATAGACAATGCCCTTTTTCTAAAAAACTATAATTATAATTAATTTCAACGGAATAAGGCTACAAAATATAGTGATGATACCAATTATTTCAAATAATTAAAACGGTTACCTTTTTGTCCATCAAGCAGTGAAATATGAATATTAGCAGTCCCTGTAAATTATATTAATTCTGATCAATACAAAAAGGTCATTAAGAAAAAGAAAATATTGATATTCTAGACAATGGTGTCCTTTTTATATTATTAAAGCAACATACGAACATTTATCATTGTATAATGTTCCGAAAAGAGTACAAATGCAACGAAGATAATGCTTACCATATCTATTTCCTGTATCAGTTTGACACTATTTGTGGCCCTTGATAACTTAAGGGATACCAAGTTTTCTAATACACAAATGTTATGCTGCGCTACTTCCAACGTATAGGAAATTACACACCGATCGCAGTTTAATATGGCGTGGAGGCCTGTCAGCTTCCTAATGTAAGACAATCCATGGAAGCAAATTGCCTAATGCTGGGTTCGAAAGCGTAAGGCGTGAGTCAATGATCACAAATTGTGAATACAAGTTATCGGTCTAGACCGACATGGACTGTTCCAAATTAAAAGCTAGGTAAATACATATCACATATTAAGCAGGAAATAGTTCAATAAACAGTCCTATTACTTTTGTTTATTCGTATGTTGCAGTTTTGATGTAATTAGTGCCATAAAGATTTAAATTACTGGATACCTGGAAACTGTTAAGAATAGCAAATATGAACTGGAAAACAATTGACGTGTAACTATTCAAAGACAATGCTCCAAACCCCCAGGTCAGACCCATCACCGGCATGAGCACCAATATGCAACGTAATGCTGCTCTGAAATCATATGATAATTATATGACATAATAATAAAATCAGTTTTCACACTTTTAAGTGCTAAAAGTCCTTTATAAACATATGGAAAATGCGATATTGTATTTCTGTGCGGATCCACTGCAATAGGAAAGTTAAAGACACCATTAGAAGGCAATTCTTTGTTATTCAAACATTAAACAAAATGTAATTAAAATAATTTTAATTAAACCTACTTATCATCTTGAATGTGTTACTCATATTCGTTAAATGTCCCTTTGTAAATCAATCTTCGTCTGTGTCAATAATTAATATATTGATTTCATAAAAGTGTTTATTAATTGCCTTTAAAATACACAGGAAATATCTAATTTGCAAAGATGTTAAACTGAAAAGTAATATTTCAAATGAAATCACAAATAATCGACCATTGAAAGTCAAAGGGTATTTCGTATTGCCTACACAAAACTTTTACAATTGTAGAAGAACATTTCACAAATAAAATTTGAAAGCAATTAAATTGACATTTAAAGAAAGCAAGGTGCACTTAAAGTTACAAAAACAAAAATACACAAAAAACTGTCATACTTTGCCCGTCCTTTGTTTGATTTCTTCGACATTGCTGTAGTGCCGCACATTGTCCGAATCACTAGGACAACAATTATAAAATTAACCTGAAATAAATTGTTTAAAACAAGAGCATGTTAATCAATATATTAACAAAATTAATCCATTTATTAATTATTTCTTTTTAATCATCATTTTCAATCTAGCAACCAAATAACTTGTTAGTCCAATTTTCAATTTTGTTTATGAAATATAACTCAAAACACATATTGTCCTTTGCTACTGACTTTGAGGTGTTTTCAATCGTGATCAACTTTTATTTATGCCCTGTGACAACTCACGCCAGGAGCAAATACATTAAGAAATGGTTCAATTCCATGAAAATTAAATGAATTTATAACGTTGTAAGTTGCACGGATAGTCGCCTCGGTTTTCTGAAGTCCCAAACGAAAGATTAGTTTAAAAAGTTGAAGCTGGACTAGCGTGATCTCGATTTCGCTACTTGAAAACAACTAGAATGCTGATACTGATAGAGTATTTCAGCCATCTTACGGAATGATGCTGACTTCATAAATTCGTTAAAAATTATTTCACAAAATCAAGCCATCTAAGAATGAAACACATTTCATGCAAATGCGAGTTGAATATGTACTTTCCAAACTTAATAAAGCGCGTTAAATACGATAATATGTCATATTACTTCTACGTTGTGATATTTAGGTTAATACATTTATAACGACATATATATTTTTTATTCCCATTATATCCTTTGCAAACTAATGAATACCACATACCAAGCTCTACATGTCTGTCGTCAAATGCTCAATTAAACCTTTTTATAACAGAATTGAAACCGAGTCAAATAATATTTTACCTTTCTTATCTAAAGGAGGACAAGCCCCCTTTTGAAATATAGGTTCTAGCTATTAGCTTAAATGATTTTAGAAAAAGTAACATTACACAATATTCCAAAAAATGGTTGATGTCCTAAATCATCAACGCTTTAGGCGATAATTACCTATGGCCTTTTATTCTTATCAAAATTTGAATTATTAATAAAGCAAAGCAGTCTTCGATAAGAAAACAATATTCATACGATAGACATAGATAATATTAATGTCGTTATCATCCGATGAAGCTCAAACCCAAGCAAGTGTGGTATTATCAAGATGATTAAAAAGAATGACTGTCAAAAAATCGACATTACAAACGTTCAAAATTATACATGTAAGCTGTAATAATAAAGCACACCAAAAGGAATTGGTGTTACATTTTCAACATTTGGTTGAAAGCTGATCTGTGTTACAAGAAAATAATTCAGACATACATACCAGTATAACAACAAGAACAGGAGCAAGAAAAGCCCATATCAATCCAGTATCAGTCGATAACCAGCATCTGGAACATAACTAGTTTCATTAATATATATTTTACATGAAAACATTGTTAATTTTAAGTTATATAAAACTTTGTTCAGTTTATGTGTAACCTTTGCTAGGTCAATCAGCTACTTTCTTGTTGATACAATATAAGTTAAACAAAAATACATAAATTATAATGTTTATTATATTAAGCGTTTATTCTGATTGTTATAAACAGCATAAAGTCAGTCTTGATTGTTTTTTGGTAGGTTTTTATAACTATTTGGGCTATACCAAAGAACGCACCGTTTTAGGCTTTTGAATAAAACATATGTAATTGCTCTATTCGTACACATATATAACATAATATTATCATAATATAAACACAAGATGAGGAAAAGGGCTGAACGACGAGTTCTTACAACATCAGCAAACGGTTCTTCCCTGATGTATGTATTTTTCTAAAATTATTAAGACAGTTACAAACTGTCTGTTTGTGTAACAGTGTTAATATCATTTGTTACTGTTTTAAGTTTGCGCTTGTGCAATGGCATAGAAAAGTCAAATAACTCCAATGCCGCATGTGATTTTATTGGTAGATGGCACAAAATAACAATACAATTTCGTAGTTTTATGATACCAAGTTTCATAATGAGACCAATAAGAAAATATGTTTAAGTATGTACAGCACAAATGTGACATTAAGTGCGTTTGCAAAATAACTGCGCATGCACGTATACATCAACGAAGAAGATAATATGTTTTCATTAAACGAAAACAAATAACCAAACGAGGAATTACAGGTTATAAGCATACTTTTCTGCAAAAAAGCTCTAATGCACATTATTTTCGTTCATTTGCAGAAGCTCACACGCAGATTTAAAGATTTAAATTATCCCTCGCCCTTCGGGCTTGGCCCTTTGAAGGCGCACTCATGCTTCTGTAGATGCTGTTGTACTGACAAAATGTGCATTTAACCTATATTCACAAATCTATCAGAAAAAAAGCTGAATGTAAAAACTCTTTGTTTAAAAATTGTTTCATAAAATAAGACAAACTTACGTCTGTTCGGTTCCATATCCATGCAGTTGTGATACAGCCATAGATACCACGACTATTATTACAGCGATGACTTGAAAATAATGGATATAGTATTTAATTGTAACATACATACATGTGTTATTGTTTTCCCTTGTTTTCTATCACCATTAAGTGTTTTTTATTATTTACTCGTACGTTTTATAATATAAGAAACTAAATGAAATATATTGCAGGATTAAATAAAAGCCAAACCATCTCTTGTATACAAAAGTATCTTGAAAAGTATATAACTTTGTGTAAACCTTTTCAAAGTGTCAGTAAAATCTAAATAAATGTTAATAAATAATAACGTATTACTAAATGAATCAGATTTTATGACACCGTCTTGGTATTTATCAGAAATATCCTTGTCGACAATTTACTCTGCAGTAAGAAGATCGGACTTACGGAAATGACCGGTGCATTATTCGGGGCAAATAATGGGAAAATGCCAAAGATAGTACTTAAATCCTGCGTACAATGGTAATATTATAATGTTAAAAGGAATATGATGAATATGATGATAATCTGATTTACTCAAATAAATATATATACCATAAGACGATATCATAAGTGGTATCCCGGGTTTTCTAGTACCCAGTGGTTTGAGAACCGCATACGAAAGGTTACATCCCTCTGTCAGCATTCCGAAGAAAACTATAAGAAACACCAGGTGAAGAAGTACTGCCATTGCTGTGCAAACGTCCTACAAATTGTTAAAAAGTATCAGATTTAGAAGAGCGGAACTATTAAGAAACAAACGATTTCTTACAGAAAGCTCGGCATAGAAATAAAACTGGATTATTTTATTTAACACAAAAATCAAATTGTTCATGCTGAGATATGTTTGGCATAGAATAAACTTCATATATATATTCAAATACATCTGCTTAGATTTAAATTGTTAATTATTGTGGCAAATGCCGGAAAATCCGTTCCCAACATGATTTTAACATTTGACATAATGACTTTGTAAGTACAGAATTAACAATATAATCAGGAGATTAACATGCAGTAAACGTGTATGACGTATGTCATCTCCTTTCTACACCCATTATAATGTACAAAGCAGAATGGCGCGAAAACTTGCACGGTGCTATACAGTGCAAATTTTAATTACATTATTGCTGATAAACATTTTAGAGTTAAGTAAAAGTAAAACAATCAGAAAATTTAGAAAACGACATAACGTTTTATATTCACAACAAATATTTACCAGGTATTCTTTAATAAACTGTTACAAAGTCTTTGGTTTTAGTTTCGTAATGTTCAAATATGTCATTACCTTGTTTTCTGTTCTGTTTATCCCGGCAAGAAACAGGATGTAGGCAACAATTAACCAACAGGATAAATTCATGTGAATGATTGATCGCACAGATTTAATGAACCTGAAATAAAAGATTTATTTATTTTTAAAAATTTAACCTTCAGAATTGTGTAGTTTAAGTATAAAGCCTCGTCAAAAATCGGCTTTGTTCGCCATTGTTCGTGATTTATAAAGATCTGGAAATATACAATTTCACTACGAAATAACACTGCCACTGAAATGTCGAATATGAACCACCATCTCTATGACAAAAAACATTATTTAGGTCAATCAATGCTCATTTTAAAGGCCTAAATGCCACAGAAAATCTTCTATTTTTTTTAATTAAAGCCTTTTATTTTCATTGTCATATTATCGCTTTCAAAAACAGAAGGTTACTTATCAGCCAATTACATATTACACCATCTTTGTCTTATGTTGTCTTTTGCTAATAAGATCATTTATAGTGATTTAGTATTTTGGCTAATTTTACTACATGTAATTTCACATTCAAGGCTAATTCTCCAGAGAATTTGCGTCTATTTTTCTCTTTAAAACATTATTCCTATATTTTAAGAGATAAGGGTTCGATTTGTTTTGTTTTGTTTAAGTTGTCATATTTTTATCCCTATTTTGTGTAATATAACGAATGACTGCAAACCTCCAGAAAAATGCATGTATAGCTACACCGAGAACTAGACATATTATTGAAACGATACATCCTATCATGGAAATGACTGATAGTGCCTTGTTATTATCTTCGTCAATCTGCAAGTATAAAATACATTATAAAAAACTGCAAAAGGCCCAACCCAAATGAAGTTGATATGATATCTGCAAAAACATTTTAAAATGTCTACGTAAGTCCAAATAAATTGACATTGAGGCATGTAAGTAAATATATAAGTAGAACTTTTCCAATTTCCTTAATTAACTCGTATTAAAAAAAAGTTGACAAAAAATAAGCATTTTACGCCGTCAAATACAAATACATGACAAGCAATACATATCTTTATTTGCACAAACGCACTATTCTTACACCATACAAAATGCTTCTGCAGTAAATGCACTTAAATTTGAAAAATACAAAATTAGAAGATTGAATGGCCCTTACGTAAGGATCGCTTACATGCCATTTGACAACATTCTTGATCAATTAAAAAAGTTAAAGTGATTTGCGCATATTAAGTCAGAAAAGCGGGTACTTTGGCAGTACCGACCTTGCTAGATAAGCTCTGTATGAAAACATAATTTCTCTGTCTGTCTGTAGCGATTTTTGCGGCAAGCATTTACTAAATCATGACTGATTGATATTTATTTGTCATCCGCCGGTGTGTCCGCTGACACTTAGATTTCTTCCTAGATGCAAAAACTATTTATAGCGGTGCAATATGCAAAATTGTTTAGTAATAACTCACCTTTGTAGATGATGAACGTGATGTAGAAGATGGACTCATAAGTAAAGCAAAATTAGTAAGATGATTGCAAACGCACACAACAGCATCTTTATCCTTTTTAACTATTTTCTGTCTACATCCCTCGTCAGACCAGTAACCTCGTGACATTTCGCTTCATAATAAAAATGCATTTATCAATATACTTCACATTACATTGACTTTCATTGGAAAATTATGACGATAGTATAACTTAAATAAAGAATATTGCAAATGTATGAAAATAGAAAGGGAAAGAAATCGTGCAATAATATAAAGAATTGACCGGTCATTTGACCAAATATATAAAGGCTATTCTTTTTTTTTCTTCTATAAATACAGGTCTTATTTTTATATGAGTGGCGCTAACCACGAGCAGAATATGATAAATTTCATACCACAAGATAAAAAAAAATCCTGTATTGATGAAAAAACATACTTGAATTTTCTGTGTATTATATAAAATTTTGTGAATTGGCAGAATTTATAAGATAGTAGTTCGGCGACAGACCTGTTAAAATACGGAAAATATGTTTCACTGCAGAAAAAAATAAATTTTTACAGTGAAAATACGGAAAATGAAAATAATAAACATTTTTTTATCAGTATTTCTCAATATTTCCTTAATAGATATATAATAAAACAGATATCTGCTATATAATCCTCGTTTTGTGGTTTTACAACATAAAAACCAATTAATATATGTATAGTTATATAACCGCATTTGTGGTGCATGTAATAAAACCAAGCATTATACAGTTTCATTAACCTTTTTAACAGTACTGTTGTAAATCTCATCAAACATTGTTCTTCATAAATTAGGATTATAAACGGGAAACTCCACGGTAACACTAAAGTTCGTATACGAATTTTAACATGCAAATGAAGACTATAATCAGTTCGTAGATGTGCTACGTCACAGTGTTATAGTTGCTATACAGAACACAGCAAATATAAGATGTTCATGTGCAAACACACTTTAACCGTTTTAGCTTCACGGTGCACTTAGCATGGCGTTTAGCAAATAGTAATCATCTGATAAAAATATCAAATTTGTATGAAAACATCCGTTACAATGCGGAAATATACCGTTATATTATGACTGCTACTTATCGCCATGTTCGTTGATTTAATATTGATGTACGGATAAACCGAAGGCGGAGTTTCATATGCAAACAGAAATTGTACTTCCGATTTCGCCACAATGAGGTCGCAGATATGTATGCTTATAAAACTCATTTTGGCTGTCTTGACACCATAATAAGATCTGGAGTCGATATAAAACCCAATGTTTTAATGAAATGTCGCTATTTCTGTTTTTATGAAATTTATTTAATGTAGCTTTAAATAAGTTATACCTGTGTGATTATCACATAACACCGTTTCATTTAAGGTTATATTAACCGGATTTTCGGAACCTTTCTTAATCAACAATAATTCCTTTATTACAATCTATTTGCTTGCATTTTACGTTTCTATTGAGCAGAACTTTCTTTAAAACAAAATGACAATAACTTAATTATTCAATTATTTCAGATTATTTATAAAATGTGATTTATTAAAATGCAACATTAATAATGAACATAATATGTTTTTTGCTGGTATTGAAATCATACAAACGATGAAATGTTGGCTGAACTTAAAACTATGAAAACTATGCTTGTCGAAGAAATAAGAGCGGTCAAAACGGATGTTGCTGGTGTTAAAAACGATGTTTCGTAATTAAAACGCGATATAGCTGAAATAAAATATAATATAACTAAACTGTCTAAGGAACAAAACATTATTGAAATAAGGGTTGGAGAATGTGAAAAGGATGTCGTAAAGTTGCAAGATTTGAGTGACAATTTGAGGATTGATACCGAAAATATAGATGGTCGATGCACCGAACACGAAGATAATGTTTTGAAGCTTTAAAGTGACGTTGACTTTTTCGAAAAATATGCGTATGCAAACAAATGAGAATTTTGGGCTAAAAATAGACCCTGAGGGTAATATGACACGCAGCAAGAAAAACGTTATTCACAATGTTATCAAAATTGCATATGAAAGAATTTGTAGGCGTTCCGATGATATTAAACACTTACAATATTTTGGTCAACTTACCAGTGATAGTACACCACTTACAATAGTCCACTTCCGGCTTCAGGATGACAAGGCTCATGTCTATACTGGTTAATTTTGATTGCGTGACAAAGGCATTCGCGTTGGTGATGATATAACTGTACGTCAATGTAGGTGCTTGAATGAGCTGAAGGAAGAGTTGGTCGTAATGGATGTGTCTGTTTGGGGCAGTAAGTTGTTTTGTAACCTAAGCAGCAAAATGTTGATGATACTCATTTAAAAGGCGTGCGTAAATTAACAAATGGGATATCTAAAAATGAATCTCAGCAAACCGTCGCCATCACACATTTACGTTTATCCGAACACAGGTGATGTAAATGATATGGAGGTGGTAACCTCTGGTGATGAAAAGTCCGTAATTAAACAAATACAGGAAAGTTTCATTTTCCAATGACTTACCAATGATTACGTCATTAAAGCAGGGATAAACATGTGGTAACCGACTGTGTGTTTTAATAACTAAATACTGACAATTGCGAGAATACCGCAGGAGTTTATTTGAAAACATTTTACAGAGAAACTTCAAGCCGGTTGACAATATGTTAAATAATAATAATTGTGATATTAATGGTATTATACAAAAACATGAAATCTAAATGGAAAAAAGTTACGAAAATAAGGAAAAACACAAGAGTGAGTTTGCATGGTTTGCTGCAAATTGCAGACAAGCAAAACAAAAATCGCAAACATTGCTAAAAAACTTTAGAAAAAGAAAATATTATGAAACGTTAAATGTTTATTTAGAAATAGAAATATATGTGACCATGCACATTTGTTGTATAATAAAAAGAATTTATCTAAAGTAGTTTCATGCGTTCATGACCCGCGTAGATTGTTGTGAGAAATAAAATATTTACTTATTAAATCTACAACTGAATCTTACGTATTATAAGATGACCAGTTTAATCATTTTAAAGATCTGCTTTCTAGTAAATGCAAACAGCATACTGAAACCTGTACTAAGGATGTAGATTTAAACACGCATTTTGATGAAATTGAGCGGTTAATATTTAATTGAATATCTCGGATGAAGAGATACTGAAAAAAATTGAATCACTTAAAATTAATAAAGCTTCATATGGTTATCATTTGCCGCAGCAAATTGCTTTCGGTGTTCATTATTTATTATTCAGTAAACTTTTTACGAAAGGTTAATTTCCAACTAGGTTGGCCATTTCAATATTATTCCTTTACATAAGAAAGGAAATTTAAATGATCCTAATAATAAAAGTGGCATTGCACTTGATGTACTTTGTAAAGTTTATATTACAATTGTTACCAAACGGCTTAATTTTACGCCGAACTTGTTAATAACTTTTTTGTGTTACCAAAGCAGGAATAAGAGCCGGATATTGTATTGTTGATAACACATCTGTATTGCAATCTATTGATTACATATTTTAATATAAGACGCAGATCTTTGTATGTAGGTTTTATAGATTTTCAGAAGGCTTTTCATTCCGTGGACCACACAATACTATACGATATTTTGAGAAGAGATGGAGTTACGGGCAAATTGTATAATACAATTAAAAGTATATACTTTTCTGTACAATCATCCGTACGCTCATGTGGGAATCTTTCAAATAATTTTGAATGTCCAATAGTACTTCATCAAGGTTTTAGTTTGAGTCTTATTATGTTTGCTTTGTTTATTAATGAATTGTATATCTAAATGTCGGAAAAAGATATCAAGGTATCCAACTTTTTCCGGATATTGTTGAAGTATTTTTACTTATGTTTGCCGATCATATAGCACTACTTTCAGATACAATTGTCGGTCTACAGAAACATAACCCTTGCTACAACAATATTGCATTAGTAGTAAAAGTTTTAACGTAAAGTACTTGTATTTAAAAAGGTGGTCAGTTATCTAGAAGAAAATCATGTAAGAAGTATAATGGTAGCCAGTTCGAAATTGTTAGCGTTTGGAATATGTTTTAGTAACAGATAATCTTTGTACAAAATGGCTGAGGCTATGTCAATTAATTTAAAAGCAAAACATGTACTTTTGTTCATTCTCAGTTTATTTCAATATATTTCTTGTTTACCATATAACATATTTTTCAAGATTAACTATTGTAAAGTAGCATCCATAATATTATAAGGATAAGAATTGTGGGGTATTAAAGACAATAAATTTGTAAATATTGTACAATATAGCTTGTAAACGTTTTTTGTTGTTGTTTGTTTTCTTGTAAGTGTCAATGTTTCTGCTTGTAATAACGCTATTCTTGGCGATCTGGGTAGATACCCAATGTATATATTTACTGCAAAACGTTGTATTAGATCTTGTTTGCGGCTAATTAACCTTTCTAGCGATAGATATATATACTATCATTTATAGTTCTATCAAAAGTTTCTTAATGACCAGTGTATGCAAATTTGGCAATAAGAGTGTAAAGAAAATGTAAAATTAAATCATTATACACGTATTATCTTTGCTAGTTTTAGAAGCTCGTAACATTGTTAAATGGTTGAAAAGGGTAGACATATTAAAATCGATAGAGAATATCGTACTTTTATGCTTTGCGAATCAATGTTAGAGGACGAATATCACTTTCATTTCGTGTGTTCATGATATGAAATTTACGTTCATCTTATATATCATTGTATTATTATTGATATCCGACTGCTGAAAAGTTTTACTCTTTGATGGCAACTGAAGTCGAGTCATTGACACGTAATGTTGTTATGTATATTAATTATGCAATGGCAGAAAGAGACAATTTTCTCAAATGTTTTGAATACCCAATGTACAAATATTGAGATTGTATGTTTAATTATATTAGAAATTTGACTATTTCAATATATCCCCAGCAATGCTGATTTTTATTGCATATTTATGCACTGTGTATTGACCGGATGCCTTTTGAACAATACAGCTATTGAATTAATTATAGTGTTACAAAATAGAGGAAGCAAAGGTAGCATTTTGTTTTGCCAGTAGTTACCCAATTAGTTTACCATCCAGTTAGTTTTGTGTACATAAGATAAATAAAGTAATTATATTGATCTGATTAGCAAGTCTTTTTAGAAGCAGGATACATGTTAATCAATTATCTCACTAGGAAAATATGTCTCTTTTTTTCCAATTAACTCGCAAACTAAGTAGCTAATAAAAGTTAATATAAGTGTTTAAATGCTGGCACAAATACGCCACCATGCAAAATACGTCAACAAAGATAATCTTTGATCTGCGAAAAAAAATATTATTGACATTAATATGATACTTTACCTCTTCGAGTCCTTCCAAAAAGAACATCTCGCATTATCCAACGAATGCTGAATATAAGAAACAATAACGTTTAACGAAAATATTATGCACTACTTAAGAACATCTCTTGTACTTTATGAACAGTTTTTGTATCAAATATCGACGAATTTGATTAAAAATACTTTTACGCAAGTATTACAAAAAAGTGCCTATGCATTTCTTAAAAGAATTTCAACCGATTGCTTTCGTAGCTTAGAGGTTAAGGACACCAATATATAATAACTTGACGCTCACCGCCCCATCAGATAATTTCGATTCTATCATGTTAAACGGCCTATATGACGGACGAACAATGGTCTCCTAAGGTACCCGTTTGTGCTTGAAAAAATGCACGAAGTGACAACTGTGGTCATTTGTCAGTCTTTCCAATTTTAAGTCTGTCGTCAGTTAAGACACCAAAACATCCAAATCAAGCTACGCCATGAAGTTGTTAAGCACATTTTTGTTGATCTATCTTTAAGTTAGACCTTTTGTCTGACCCTTAATTGATGCATAATCAGATATACGTGTGGTCTTCAGTCATGAGTAAGAATTTTAAAGATATTAATGAACACTGAAACATCAAAAGTACTAATTTTTTATTTATATCTAAATTGAAATTCCGCTAAGGTGGCCTTAATACGTCAACATAATCTTCAATCTTCAGTTCTTCAATAACGCCGTGTTTACATTGTCCGTGAACTTACCTACAATTGCAATGTTATATCATTTTGGAACATTTGATTTGAAAAATTTTGACTTACGTTAAACAACTGAAATGTAATTTCCACTGGGCTAACAAGTTGCCGCTTCAGGCTGGGATGAAATGTAAATGATATGACCGGGGCATTCAGTTGAAGACCTCCAGACCTGATAAGAAACAAAAAACAAAGAAATGGCGACGAATTTCTACATAAAATATGTATAAATATCTGTCATAGGATAATTTTTCAAATATATATTTATGAAATAAGTTCAGAACAATGTTATAAAGCAAGCATCTGAGAATCATGACTCTACCTTTTGTTAAACCCCTACCCTGCTGGAATTGATAGTTAGCATTTGTCACCGGTTAACTCTTCAGTCGGACCACGTTCTATAGTGTTGGCTCACTTTATATCTCAAAAATTGAAAACAGATAGTTTCAAAAGATGAAAGCTTGAAAAGTTAACCATTTGATATGATATTTAACATTTAACATATTGGAATCAATTTATACAAAAAATATAGCCAAGTTAAGCATTTTTTATAACGCACAGCATTTTGAATTTTTTTTTATGAAAGCAATCAATTTTTTAGCATTTGAAGCCAAAAAATTGTGAAGAGATAAAGACATAACTAGTATGTGTATATCATTTTTATGTTATTTTAGAGTATTTCAAGAGTTTTTAGTAAGGTACCGCGTGTATAAATCCAGAATCATGCTAAGCAAGAAAGTACAATATTATTTAACATACCCATTTTACAAAGTTTTATAACCTGGTATAATTGATAATTTTCTTAGCAGTTGCAACTTACTTATCTATGAAACTCTACATTATATATATACTGAACAAGCAAAGAAACTTCCCATATGCTTCAGTGGAGATATAGTGGTATTTAAAAAAGTCCTAATATCAAACGAGTACATATTTTCACGCAAACGATTATGTGTCCGACAAAACAACTTTTACCTCGATTTTAACTCGTTTTTGCAGGAGGAACCCAAAGAACGCGATTTTAACATGCATGCGCGGACCACATTCGTGTAAATTTTATGAAAAGTTTCAGCGCAATTTTAAAGACTTTCATATCAATAAGAAAACGCGATGAATTAATTTCTCAGTTTTCCTTATTTTTGATATGCCTAGAATTCGGCAAAATTTACGCGAACGTGTCATTGGCATGCTCAATGCTAGTATGACGATGAATGCTATAGCTATGAATATTGGATGTTCTACTCGGGCTGTTTGACACCTTAGATAACGTTTTCAAGTAACATGGCGTACAAAAAATATACCACGAAGTAAACGTCGACTCGTCACAGTGCGTGCCGAAGACCGCTATATTCGAAAGACCCACCAGCGCAATCGTATCCAAAATGCCAGAGATACAGCTGCTAACACCCCTGATACACATAACAACAGTTTATCTGCCCAAACAGTGCGCAATCGCTTGCGCGACAGTGTGCTCTCTGGAAGTCGATCATTGTTGACTGTGTTTTGGGTGACGTCACAGCGTAAATCTTGTAAATTGGACATGAACACACCAATGCTAGCTTAGACAACAATTGAAAGCATTCTTTTTTCTGGCAAGTCGAGGTTTTCATTCATCGAGCTGATAGCAGGGTTCGCGTATACCGTAGGAGAAATGAACGTTATGCTGACTGTTTTTGAACGAAACTAATTTTATGGTGGGAGATTTCTGTCCTGGTCTGGACAGGTATAACATATGGTTTTAGCACTTATTTCGTCGCTATCGAAGGGCATTGGAACGTCACCGAGATAAAATACACGAGAGACATGTTATCCCACTGTTTCAAAAAAAATGCTAATATTTTTCTTTTTCAACATGATAATGCCACAAGCAAAACACCTAGGGACTCTATTATTAATTTTTTCAGGGCGAATAACATTGCATTTATTACTGACACGTCTGATAAACGTCCTGATTTAAATTCCATTGACCATCTTTGGGATAATTTTGACCATCGTGTAAGATGTCACCCTTTTCCTACGTCAAACGCCATTTACCTAAGACAAGCCTTAATTCAGGAATAGAACAACATTCCACGAGCCGAAATCAAAACGCTGATTCCAGACAGTCCTTCGTGCTGAAGGTGGTTATACCCGATATTAATTTGTGATTTTGTAGGGCTCCCCCTTCTGCATTTAAACTACCATTTCACTACTCTTGGACATTCTCGTCTCAATATTTTTTCACGAAATTCTCTTTTGATGCATATAAATCTACTTTAATCCTGATTTTCATATGCGTATCTCTTCCCTTTAATTCAGGGGAAGTTTCATTTTGTTTTGTGCAGTATATTTTTTAATTATAATTATAAAAATATGATCAATCAGCACAAATAATTGAACAATGCATGTGTTATAGACCTTCTTACCAATTCTAATTAACTGGATCATTTTGAACTTCTTCATGCATTTGGTAAAGTTAACAATGGGTCGTAAAAACTGAATTGGAAATTTTATTTGCATGCAAACAAGTATTTTATAAAGTTGTACGGTCACGAGATGTAATAAAGTCTTTGTTATTATAAACAAAACATTCAATAGATCATTGTGGTGATATTACATTTGCAAACAGGAGATTATGACGTAAAGTTGAATTAATCTTCTAAGAAAATTATAATTTAATATAAATAAACCTACATAGTGCTGTTCGTAAAAGACGGTATAATCATTGAAAGATTTCTGTATATTATTCCACTAAAAGATTCAACAGTGCCTGCAAAGTAGTAACATTTAAAAAACACACATTATTTCATATTACAATTTAAGCATGCATTTAAAAATATGATTATTGTGTACTGATATTTTCAAAAATTAAAATATCAGAAATAGAAACAATAATGTAATAAGAAAATTATTGTTAAAATTATAAAAAAGGGCTTCTTGGAAAGTTATTTTTATCAGGAAGTTTCTTCCATGTTTTGAAAGCAAACATTACTCAGGTCACGTTGCTTCACAAGTCATTATTATTTCCGTTTAAATAGCAGTTGATAAGCTTATTGCTGCTAATACGCAATAAGATGAAAAGTGTGAGCATAAGAATTTAGAAACGTTATTTTTCATAAGGAAGTTCCTTCCATGTGATGAGGGCAAACGTTACACAGGTCACGTTGCTTCACAATACGTAATTATTTTCGTTCGAAGAGCAGTTGATAATGCTTCTTGTTGCTTTTACTCAATTCGACGGAAAAGAGTGGAGCATAACAATTTATACGATTTTACTTTTCATATATTTCTTAAATAGAATATTTTAAGATGACAATGAATTATATAACAGTTGTGAAATTGGAGAACGTATTTGATCCATAAAACTATGAAAAATAATTATTATAATTAAGTTTAATAGTAACAAAAACACATATTTTAATCGTTATTGTTTGCAAACATAGTTTGATACATGTAAAAAAGGACAACATACTGTCACAGTCAATCAAAAGTTTGTCCTTCCTTGGTCTAGCCCACTCTGAGACACCTTCTTTTTCACGTTCAGGGAAATTCAGAGCTTCGCTACAGGATTGCACTGGTCCCATTTTTAAATCTGCCATATAATAAGTGGTTATTAATTACGTCATTATCAGATTAATGTATACTTTTATGTTAACATGAAATGAATTAGATTCTCTATTCAATTTGATTTTAAAATCGATGTAAGCGTTTGATATTATTTTGATAAGAATTCCAAATGCAGGATAGTCTATTTATCGGCATTTAGTGAAATAAATTGATACTACGGTGTAATTTTCTAAACAATTCATCTTAGAGAAGTAACTTTGAAAATCAGTTAATTTCTAATTTTTAAAATAAGAGAGGCGTACACAAATTTGACTTTGATATCTCTGCAGTGACATTTTTTGAAGTTGTCGATATCTTCTCCACAAAACTGTCTGTTATCTTCAGAACAACGTCTGGCCCGGAGCCTGTCTAAATAAACAAATTATGATCAGAACAAAGTATTTACCTGTCCAATGTCTTATAAAAAACATACTTAAGGCAGAAGAATGTCTGTCACAGAACCAGTCTAAAAGCATGTATTATAATAAGAATGATGCCTATTCTATCCGAGAATCTGCTAAAAAACTTTACAAAAGAAAAACAATGTCTAACATGGAATATGTTTATATAACAAATACCATGACGGGAACAATATATTCGCAGTAAGGTGTTTATGAAAAGCATTTCATGATCATAACAATTTACACCGATTGTCATGGAATGACACTTAGTTGTCACATTGAAGGTTCCTTGATAACCGTCGTATGAACACATCTCTTTCTTAATTCAAAATTTCATCATTACCATAACTAAATGTTGAATTCTGCTGAAGCCTGCGCAGGGGTGGGGGGGGGGCTTGGACGGTAACTTTCACTTTTTAGTACCCTCAATCAAACTGAACCTGCATCATATTCAATTTTATAGTTTTCGGCGTTCTTTATGGATTCCGTTTTACTCTATTGCATAAGAATTACCTGATTTATGTTCACCTTCCAAGTTTGTGTTGTACTTTCATCCAGAATATTGTTCATTGTTTGTAAATATGCCTAAAATTAAGCAATATATGTTGTTGTTTTTTGCAATACCAAAACGTTCATTCAATTTTTTATGCTGCTATCTTTTTTTATGTTGCTATCTAGTTTCATGTCCATATGACATTTTACATGTCTGTATACTACATGTAATCCAATCTGTTAATCAGTTAAAGCACACTTGGGTATTTTATTAAGTGATATCTACAAACGGCGTTTTAGAATTAAATCAGTAACAGAGCTCATCTACACAAAACAACCATTGGAGAGGTATTTTAGCTAGAAAATTTTTTTATGATCTGAACAGCATGGCAATGTCTAAATATATTAAACCATCAGTGTAATACTGAGCTGCCACGCAGCATTTTACTATTAACATCCTGTTGTAATTCTGGCGTGTTGGGCTTATAGAATATGGACTGACATTTCAGAAATTTTATTAATCATGCACTATACTGATACTAGTTAATATTTTCAGGTAATATTTTTAACGATTTTACGTGATGAAATTATCTTACGTTTGTTACATTTTCAATGTTTGTTGTGTTGACAGTTACCACATCAATTATCTTTGTAAGTGTATTAATTGCAGTGTCTATATCTCCGATAAAAAGTGTACTGTTCTCGTCATTGTCGGATGTCGCAATTGATAGGTCATCTAATATTTCAACTATATCTACCTGACCAGTCTTCGTGTCCTCAATCAACTGTTATACAAGAAGAACAACTTGTGTACAAATTAAATAGTTTCAAAAACAGCCATAAAGGTATAAAGAATAATTTCGATTTAAGCAAAGCGTTAGTAAACCTTTTTGGATACTGAAGTTCAAGCCAAGAAAAATGAAATGTATAGATTTCCTTAGTTGAAGCATTTTCTCAAAAAGCGGTGCCAATGTACACATATTGATTAATATTTCTTTTAATGAGAAAGTCATGACGATTCCATTTGAAATCTAATTTATTTACATTTTAAATTCTCTGTTTGAAGAATATATCATTTATTTATTATAACCAGAATGGTTAATGAATGACTTTAGATTTTTAATGTAAGGAAGCTTTTACTGACGCATGGTAATGCCTAATTTGATGCACGGAGTTTTATTATAAAGTGAAAAATGCCGGATAGCCTATCTGAAATTATTATTTCTATTTGCATTTATTTACCTTTTTGTAAATGTTATCAATCGATGATTTCGTACAGTTGTACACGGGGTCCTGATAAACTCCACTTTTATTACAGTACCGTGATACCTGGCCTGCAAAAAAGTATTGGTATAAGTTGGTATTGTATGGTTATAATAAGTTTTTCGTGTACTAAATAAAATAAGTATTTGTTTTTGTACTCTGTTTGGCACCTATTTAACGTGCAGCAAAACAATTAGAAGAAAGTTCAATTTCAATATGTACACCTTTGTCATGTCAACACACGTGTATTCCCAAAAACATATAATATTATAGCAGTGTTATTCTGTATCAAATCTGGTATGCAATAAAGGCTGTCTTTAAACGTACTAATTGAAGTAAAACCGACTTATTGTGTTTAAGAGCAAACAAAAGCGACCGACACTTGAAGGTAAGACCCTGTATTCACATTTTATGTGTTATTTGTATAAATGTATAGGAAGACTTGAAAATAAATTTTATTTGATACAAACTTCACATGAATTTTAAATAACCATTTAGTATGCCATTAAACAATACAAAATTATCACTAAAAGCTGACTCGGACAGTGCAAGTTGTGGGCTGGGTCCATATTCCAAGTGTATTTTGGGGAAAACGTTAAAAGTTTAATAATACCATTTCATTTTCAAGTGCGTAACAATTGGATTACCGTCAACCACTTTTATTAAAAAATTATAATCATGGTCAAAATGTAATATCTTCAATAGTTCTAACAATCTCAAAACTGTTATTGTTTATTTGATTTGTATTGCCATATAAAAATTTAGACATTAGAAGCATAACAGAAAATAATACCAATATATCCAGCCGGGCATTTATTCCAAGTTGTCTGTTCTGGGATCCCTGTATCCCATTGTATATTCTCGTCATCTGTATCGCTTAAGCACTTAGTAACTGAAACGGGTATTTATTGGAGTAAGAAATAACTTTTTTTTATTCTATAAAAACATATTTGTTTACATTCATGATCGGTTTCTTACAAAATGTATGTTGTTAGTATTTAGTAAGCACTCTCCTGTTGTTTAATTGGTTGATGTCCTACTACATGTCTTTGCGACGATACTGCTTTTATATTAATGTTTTCATTCATTTTTCAAAAGATGTATTTTCTTTTACTTTTATCAAATTATTTAAATGCATAACTTAAACACATTACTAAAATGCATCATTTCTTATATACACTATTTATTAAATGTGTTGCTTTGACACTTTATATAAATACGTTACCTAAATTCAAACAATTCTAGTTCAAATGCTTTATCTTGTCTACCTATTTCCGAACAACCAAGAAATATATCTGAATTGTATAGATTTGCAGCTGAAATACTTACATTCAATATTTAAGGAAAAAGTTGTATTTAATGTTGGAAAGGCTTTGTCTGAAGCCCTAACTGAAAGAGTGCAATTAATGATGTTGCTCGAAACTTCTTTTTGCAGTTGTACCCTTCCATTAGAAGTAATGTTAAACACTGAAGGAAAACAATATCATTGATATTATATTGAATTTTTACGTATTTTAAGTTTTCAAACTAACATGGTTGCTGGTTTTTATAATTTCAATGAAATACTTTACAATTCATGGCTAGATGTTTTAAAAGAAACTATACTATAGCTAACACTAAAATAACCTACTGATGTATACAGTTTGTGACTATGGAACAAACAGAATGCAGTAAAGAGTTTAGCGCTACTACTAATGTAATCTTTTTCATACAAAAATATATGTGGTAGAAATATCAGAATTATCTTTTTGTCAAGTTTAAGTCACAGCTTCCCTTTTATATTTCTTTCTTGACGACCTCTAAACTTATGTTCAGGAATTTGACCAACATGAATCAATAGCACGTGATTTCAATCAAGAAAGATAGTGCACCCAACTATTATAAGCAAACTGGGAAAACATCTGAAATATATAACTATGAAAGGTCAACAAACAATCCCTGGTACTTGAAATTATTTGACTTTGGCCCACAGTGTGCCTTCTCTACGACGAGAACGTCTCTGGATGAAATTGGAGACCTATGATAGAAATAAAAATTATAGAAATGATTCTGCATTTATGTGCCACTTACCATCCGAACACTTGTAAATACTACAGTACTGCCATCTTAATTTAGGGTCTGTAGTAAAACACCATGGCATTCCTTCCCCTCTGGGATCTCGACAATAGTTAGCAGCTTCAGAAACAGAAATATCTGGAAACATATGGGCTTGATTGCATTTATGTCTGTGAGGTTTATGTGAATCCCACCACTGACACGTATGCCCGTCGTGCGTCGTGTTTATAAAGCCGTTGTATCGGTTAGAAGAAGTCTTGAAGCAATCTGAAACTATAACGGTGAAAACCTTTTGTTATTGTTCATACTTAATTTTCATTTTTTTCCCGGCTATTAGTTAAAATATAATCTGAATTCGGTCAAATAATATTTGATCCGAATTCGGTATCATTATATACAATCATCAGTCTGATTATATACAAATGAAATAAATACATAATAAAATCTATTGCAGAATAGCATAAGCATGTACTCATAGAATCATTGGAGCTTTAAGTTTGTTAAAAAAAAACAAGGAAATTTATACTAGTATTAGTTACGACGGAATACAAGCACAGTTCCACAAACCAAAAACTTACAGTAACAACTGTCTTAAATCAAAGAGTATGTTACTTCTTTGAAGAAAACGACAGCCCTGATATAGTTTCGGGCACGACAAAAACTGTCTAAACTGGTAACGATTGCACCCTTTGTCCAACGAGTTTGGTTTTTCAAAATTTATTGAAAATTGGTCTTATATCACCGACGGCTAATATTATGATTTTGGAACTGATAGAAATGAAGCAGTATTTATTTGCCACTTACTGCCCGAACACTTTTGAATATCACAATACCGCCATCTTGCGCCAGGGTCTGTTGTGAAACACCACAGAAACCCAGCGTTGCCGTTTACTTTCTTGCCGGGATATCGACAATAGTTAGCAGCATCAGAAACAGAAATGTCTGGAAACATTTCGGCCCGATTGTATGTATGTCCCTGAGGTTTTTGTGAATCCCACCGCTGACACGTGTGCCCATCGTACGTCGTGTTTTTAAAGCCGTTGTATCGTTTAAAAGTAGTATTTAAGCAATCTGAAACTATAAAGATGAACACCATTTGTTACCTTTTATACTTAATTTGCATTTTCATGTTTTCTTCCAGGCTATTAGTTAAAATATTATATGAATTCTGTGAAGGAACATCAGATTTTTTTGGTATTATTATAAACAATCAATAGTCTGAGTACATACAACTGTGATAGGACATCATAACTATGTGGTCAACACATATTACTGTATGAATGATCTTTAAGCTTTTTCAAGGCAAAAGAAAGAAATTAATACTGGTATTAGTTATGATGAAATACAAACGCTGTTCCACAAATCAAAAACAAACTTACAGTTGCAACTCTCTGAAATCAAAGAGTATGTCACTTCTTGAAAATAATCGACAGCGCTGATATAGTTTCGCGCATGGCAAAAATTGTCTAAAGTGGTAACGATTGCACCTTTTTTTGTCCAATGAGTTTTGTTTTTCAAAGTTTGATGATTGCAAACTGGTCTTATATCACCGACGTCGATAATTTTGATCTTGATTATGGAATGATCTTTTAACCCTCCGCCGTCCATTACCTTGAAATATATAGTCATATTTTGATTAAAATCCTTTTGGGGACAAAGTAATTAACGGAAGAAAACATATCGGGATTGACAACCCGGAGTGATGCTCTCGTTGTATAACGGTAAGGTCTGCACGGATATTCGTTCCTTTAATTAAGAGCAGGTTACAGAGTGAACCCAAACATTAACGCTATCCGAGTGACTTTGAAACAAATGCATGTACAAGATATTCTTTCTTTTATTATTACGAAGTATGTGTTCCGTACAAGAGTGTTAAAGCAAAAACGGTCAAAATAAGAAATTTAAAGGCAGTTAATTCTATAAAAATTTGTTTTTAAATAAAAACAGAGCTAACTTGATGTACATAATACATTTTTATAAATTTTATTATATAATTCATATTTCATTTCATTTTTCATTTCGTTTTTATTGTGAGTTTATTAATTCAATTGATAAATATATAACTTGAAATTCGTGAAAAAGAAAAAGAACCGCTCACCGCGACTTCAAAAGTGAAGGTAGGTCCACGTCTTTCATCGTGAATGACATTTTTACTGAAAATGGTGCCTCATTGTAAATGTATGCAAACGTCAATTTTATAAAATAAAGACAATAATGAAAGAAGCTCGAGTTAATAAAAATTTCAATACCAAAAAAATTATTTATTTATTTATCAAACCCTTATTTATTTATCTTACTGAATTTTCATTCCTTCCTTCATTTTAGTAAGCATTTTGTAAGGTTTTTTTATGATTATTTTAGTAACAATTCAAGAACGTTGTCTCACAATAAAATTCATATCTAAGGAGGATCATGACGAATTTAATACAATGTCGTCAACTGTCATGAAAGTGTTTGCAAAAAATATCGCCATTTTTTTCAAGGAAATACCTTTATCTTTATGTTGTATTTATTTATATGTTTATATTTGTATTTATTATTTATTCATTTTTTACGGGAGGGGGTATATTTATTATCAAAATAATTATTCTCAGGATGAAAAAGTAAGAAATATTTCATAGTGATTTGCACCAAATATTTCCTCTCCATAACATTTACCGCACTCTATCTGTGCAGATTGCGATGCGATTACATTTATTTTCAAAAAAAGATAGCGAGTGTGTTTTTACTTCTGGAAGTTAAATAAACCGCCTTAAACCGCTATAAGATATGTCATCACAACGGTTTAGATCCAGAGCAAAAAGTGCCACAAGTTTTGTTAAATAACAAGAGATGTAATCAATGTATTTGAACAGCTGGAAGTTGATCAATCAATGAATATATCATCGCAAGGGTTTAAATCTAGAACATAAAAGCGCCAAATACTTTCATAACCATATATTCTTTGAACAAGAAACACCATGTCACCAAGTTTGATGCAAAAGTGTATGTTTGTCAGAAATAGTAAAATACAGAGTTACTACATATCTTTACCTGTTCCAGTATTCATCCGCATCTAGTACTGAAGCTGTCCTAATTTGGATAGTATCATTTGATGATTTAACCACTTCAAACCATTCATTTATATCTATATCTAGAAAATAAATCGAATTACATAATAATATCCCGCACAACAAAGTTGTAAGGGGGAATACTGAAATCAGCTTGTCCGTCCTGCTGTCCGGCCGTCCGTCCGGCCGTCCGGTATACTGAAATCAGCTTTTCCGTCTTGCCGTCCGGCTGTCCGGCCGTCGGTTTTTTCTTGTCCGCCCAATAACTTAAGATTCCTTTGACCCACAGTCTTCATATTTTGCATGGAGGTTAGTCATGAAAAGTAGATGACCCCTATTGATTTTGAGGTCACCAGGTTAAAGGTCAAGGTCACAGGTGCCTTGACTTCAAAAAGCTTGTCCGCCCAATAACTTAAGATTCCTGTGACCCACAGTCTTCATATTTGGCATGGAGGTTAGTCATGATGAGTAGATGACCCCTTTTGATTTTGAGGTCACCAGGTCAAAGGTCAAGGTCACAGGGGCCTTGACTTCTAAAAGCAGTCCGCCTAATAACTTAAGATTCCTTTGACCCACAGTCTTCATATTTGACATGGAGGTTAGTCATGATGAGTAGATGATCCCTATTGATTTTTAGGTCATTGGGTCAAAGGTCAAGGTCACAGTGACCTTAACTAAAAAAACCTTTTCCCCTCCATTGCTTAAGAATGCCTGTCCGCAGTGTATTGATTTTGACATTTTCACATTTGAAGCATGTAGAATACATAACTTAGCAATGCACTTGTTTAGTAACCTCAGATTTGGCGGAGAGGATGTCCTTGAGCTCTAAATGGCCACTGTTGATTCTGACTAAGTGGTATGCGGGGGTATTCACGCCATGACAGTGGCAGTTCTAGTTATATTAAATAAAATCAAATCTATATCAGAAAGGAATATTTGTTTTCTTTACAGGTATGTTTTTAATAAAACGTACGAACCAATACCATATCAGTTCCGACATTCAAATTTGTTTCTTTCTTTTACGAAACAACAGAGGCATTTTTATCTTGTATTAGATCGACATTTAACATTTAGCAAGGCATAACCTGGAATGCTGATACAGAATATGAGAACATTAGGAAAAACGACAACAATAAACGCAACTGTTTAAGTGTATAAGCTATATCCGATAAATTTTTATACAAATTTATACAAATTTTCAAACAGGTAAATAAGTTTGTTTTAATAATCATTTAAATTACAATATTGATAATAAATTTACAATCCGCAGGCAGCATATGTTAGGCTTTAACACACTTAAGCAAAATATATGCTTGTCAATAATTGTTAAGTTTAAACAGAGTATTCGTTACAAAGTGAATAATGTGTGAATTTATTGTATTATTTAGCTCAACATTCAATCAATATTGAATAACACACAATTTGATTTGAGATACAATTAGCTTATAATAACCCGAGTGATATTGAATAACGAACTGAAATAAGAATTTTAACCTGCAACGACTAACAACAACATATGTTTTTGCCAAATCGTCGTATTTAATAACATGTGAAACACAATTTATTTGCTTTAAGCAAATGTAAGCAATGGAGGAATTATTTATAAGAAATATAAAACAATATTTTATTTATTTAATTTGTTTAAACAATAAACTAGAGTAAAAATACTTCTTTGAAGAGTATTTTAATAAAAACAAAAAATGTTAAACTACCTTCCCGGGTTTCTATTCCAACTTGTAAATCTCCGAAATTCCCATCATCTGGATCAGATATTGAGAAGTTTGCTACTATTGTACCGACTGGGACATCTTCACGTACTTCCGTTAAAAGGTTTTTCGGTAGAATAGTTGGTCGGTCATTCACTTCCTTAACATCTATCCTTATTGGAACTATATTTAATGTTTCATTTCTGTACGGCTCTCTCAGTACAATGACATTCGTCTGTTTTCAAATTAAACAATGCATGATTCAATTATGAACGATATGGTGTATAAGGTTTCAATTTTACATTTGTAAAGAACTCATGATGTTTTAAGGAAGGACACACAATTTTTTAGAGCCTTTGATCGTTTCAAGTAAGCTGTATCATAAGATAATTTGTACTTTCTTGTCGGGGCTAAGTCAATGATGGACAGGTTCAACTTAACCACTCTCATATTACTTTATAATATCGTCGCAGACTTTTTACTTTAATTTTATTTACGAGATCCGAACCTATTACAATCAACGTCAAAATGTCGTAATAAAGTAATCTTGCTTATAATGCATGATTGTATTCGGGAATAGACTTGATGAATTACTTAAATACGTTTCAAAACAAAACGAGCTATTATTGTTAATATTGTTTACTATAATATAAATATGTATCAAAAGATTTAACAAAGGAATCAAATGTGAAATCATTATATCAAAGGTGAAATCATTAACAAGGCTATCAAGTTTAAGCAGAATTTATTGTACGTTTGGCTTATCATGTGTAGATATTTTTAATCTTTTAAACACGATTTCGTTTATACGTTATTTTATTCTAATTGAACGATTTTGAGACAAAAATTAAAATACATGCATATGTAACGAAACATTTAATAAGGAAATATTAATCAATCTCAAATGTCTTGTTTAAGACCATCTCAAATGTGTTAATTGGGGTCTTATCTTAAAGGGATTATGTGAAGAAGTGTGCATTATGTCATTTTATGGGCTCAATAAATTAAACAATATTCAAGTAAAGCACATATTATCAAAAAGTTGTTGATTTTTTAGACATTTATTTCTTTATTTCTTGTAGGGTTATAAAAGTTAATAATAATGGAACCATATTTTATTCAACTTCGAATTTAAAAACAGATGGCATTACATCAAGAAATTGGAAATTATTTTGAACAAAAATTTTTTTTTTTCGAAAAAGTTATAATTATCTCCTACAAAATGGTGTCATAAACGTGTCAGCAATATAAAAGAAATACGGGGAATGAAGATCTATAAGGTATGGTCATAAAGAAAGATACTAAAATGGTAAATACATCTACTTACGTTCCATGTGTTTATATACAATTCATTCTTTATTGTTAAAATAAGGTAATTTAAATTTCCTGTACTGGCATGTTCTATCGAAAAGAGTCTGTGTTCGTCATATGTATTTTTTAACCAAAAATAAACGCTTATACTGTTCCAATTGTTGCAAAATAATTGAACTTTAGTTGATCTGTCGTTCTTTGGAAGGTCGTCACTAATTGATAGGTTTATAAAATCGGGTGTGCAACCTACAATAAAAATAGATTAACAATGATTACAATTGTTTAGACATTCAGTGCTGGACCTGGCAGTCATGAGCACCGTAACAAGTCTAAAACCAGGTCAGGAGCATGCACATCCGGAGATTCTTACCAGACTTGAAACTGTAAACTGTAAATAGCACACTTGCATTTATTATTTTTTCCCGTAAAAAAAGAATTTTCTGATTTAAAAACATGACAATAGCTGTAAATTCAGTAGATCTTTCAATCATTAAAAATTTTCTTTAACAAAAATGTATCTCAGCGTTTGATTAAAAGACATTCTGTCTCTGAAACACATAGATATTTCCTTTTGTAAAAATGGCTCAAATGGAGTCTTATGACTTTAGGTTAATGGTGTATAGCATGATATATCCCTAAAGAAAGTAGTGCTTTAAAAAGTAGTCTTCATAAAAGTAGCAAACTGTAAACAAAGTAGTGTTTACCTTGCAAACAAAATACTAAATCACTATAACTGTACTTATTGCTAAAGAGCAACGAAAGAGACAGATGAATCAGGTAATTGGTCAATGGATAACTTTTTTGAAAATATAACCATTGGCAAACAAAAACGACAATAAAAAACTTTTGAAAATAATTAAAAAGTTAACATTTCTGATGTAAAATGGGCCTTTAACTGACATACATTAACGGGAAGGAAACTAAAAACTATAATAAAAGAGACAAAATCTTCATGACAATATCAACACTGCATACTTTTGAATGATGTCTCAAATTGAACAATATTTATACAAAAATGTGAGACATTTATTTTTTCACCACCCAAACAATAATGTACCGACAACAATGCCTTAATTTTTAAAGGTTTGTTAATTGTGATGATATCGTTTTATGGTTTAAAGCATTGTATCTTTACTACGCTTATTTTCTAAAATATAATTATTTATTATATTAAAATCTAGGTAAAACAATTTATTATATTTTAGGAACATTTCTAAATAAGTACCGGCTGAATTCCGAGAATTACAGATTTATTCCATTCATATTTAAACCAAGCTTCAAAAGCTATAAATATTTAATGTGTTTGACTATTTCAAACTTTTTATTCTAATCTAGGGACGTGCCATTTCAACACCAGATTGTCGTACACTCATAGCATACAAATGTATGAGGACAATTATGTACAGCTATAATTGCAATTAAGTTTTGTATTTTGTGTGAAAAATACTTCAACATTTCCGTATTTGTTAGATAATAGTCAATGTTTATTCATATGATCTTTCCTAAAATTAATGAAGTGCCAGGTCAATATTGTTGGACAATAATAGAACTTGGATGAACATAATTAAGCAATAGACATCAACTTTGCGTCTATTGTAACAGTTGTAGAATAAATTATGTTTGTGAAGTTATAAAATCATGCAAGCCGGTATGTGAATATCACAAAGCATGCTAGAATTATAAATGTATTTTGTAATTGAAAAAAATAAAATAGACGAAAAAACAAGAAGTGACTAAAACAAAATAAATGTTAAATGTTTGCGCTTTGTTGTTTTGATAAAGGCTAAGCTGTACTGATTGTACGGATTGTAATAATGCAACCCTTCGAAGAAGAGGGAGTTAATTATTTTGCTAATGTCGGTCGGTCTGTAAATCTGTCGGTCAGTCTGTCTATAGACCACATGGTTTCTGCTGATAATCTTAAAAAAACTATTTATCACAAAGTGTTCATATTTCACATAATGATTTATCATTTATAGTTAATTACCCCAATTGATTTTTGGGTCACTAGGTCAAATGTCAAGGTCACAGAGGCCTTAAATATCACAATTGTTTCCGCCTATCATGACACCTTAAAATGTATTCATCACAAAGTCTTCTTATTTCACATAGTGATTGGTCATATCGTGTAGATGATCATATTGGTTTTTGCAGGTCAATGTCACAGGGGTCTTAAATGTCAGAGTGGTTTCCGGTCATAATCTTGGTTACAATTACAATTCATTACAAAATCTTAATTTTGGGGTCACTATGTCAAATGTCACGGTCACAGGGGCCTTGCATGGTAGTAATATTTTCGCTCATAATCTTGGTACCTTTTTATCACAAAGTCTTCATATTTCACATATTGATTGTTCATAACTAGTAAATGAGCCCTGTTGAGTTTGGGGTCACCGGATTATATGTCTATGTCACAGGGTCCTTGAATGGTAGTATGATTTCCGCTCATTATCTTGGAAGATAATTGTAACAAGGCCTCATAGTTCACATAGTGATTGGCCATAACCAGCAGATGTATTCTTGAATGTTAGCATGGTTTCCGCTCATTATTTTTGAAAGTTATTAATCACATTTAAAGTCTTTATATTTATAATAAAGATTGATCATAACTATAATATGACCCCTTTTGTATTTTGGTCACAAGTTTAAAGGTCAAAGTCATAGGAGTATTTAATGTCAAACTGGTTTCCGTTCATTATCTTGAAAACTATTTATCACAAAGTCTTCATTATTTTTCTTCTTTTTTTCATAATTAAACATTACCATATACCCATTTATGGCAAGTTTCTATAACAAAATTATCAATAATGTGAGTCAAGGGCTATAACGGAGGGAATATGTGTCGTTCGGCATTTCTTATTTATGTAATTAATTGTTGTTTTCGTTGATGGTGTGGGGTGAAAGAAAATAAGTGGGGAAAAATAAGTGTCTTATTGTACCCAATATAAAATAAATCTTATTGTACAATTGAAATAAACTTTGCAATTATAACTCATCTAAGGACTTGAATACTACTTCAACTAATATGGATCCTTCATCCAGTTGTTTTTTTAAACACATGGCTTTTGAATATCTTGAATATCCTTTATTCAAGTAAATTCAATTAATTTTACAATTAAAAGTTTCCAGAAGAAATTAAACAGCCACAAAATGTCATATCTGCAAATGGAGGAGGTTTAAATTTTAGTCAGGAGGACGAACCGTGAAGCTGAGCACAGGGCCATTATTTAAACTATCTTGGTAGAGCCTGATAAGATAAGATTTTCATGTTTACTGTTTGCATGTATTAACAGAAAATATAATCCTATCAGTGCAGAACAAATGTTGTCCCTAGAATCATACTTTGAACACTCTAAGAAGATTCTTGTATTAAAGATAATAATGGTACATATGCTTCGGCCTTTTGATTTCAGAGAAAAGGATATAATAAGGAAATTATAGAAAATCAATGACACCTGGAAAGTGCAAATTTTGATTCTAGGATCATAACTTTAAAATTTTGGTAAAAGTGTACTAGAAAAAGTAGCATGTCAAGAACGTAACATTCACAAAGAATAACTTTTATTATTTTATATGTATACATACAGAAAAGATTTAGACTTTTTGATCCAAACATAATTTGGACCTCAGAATGATATTAAATCAACCAACAAATCAACGCTCTAGCTTTTGTATATTCAGAAAAAGAATTTATAAATTGTCATTGTTATACCACCATTTTGCTCAACTACCATTAATTAATGCAAACGTTTGAACATCCTAGGTTGAAAGGATAATCCCATGAAGAATAGTTGACTTACACTGACAATGGAGATGATCTTTTAATTAATACATGGCGACAATCGACGCACGACGACGAAGTGAGGGCTACGAGTATCAAAATAGCGAACCACAAACATATTATGTTTAAATGAGCTAAACAGGAAAA